TCTGAAAACGCGCTAAAATTCATTATACTGACGAAAAAATACCATTTGCCTACCCACACTGCAGAGTTTAGTTTTAAAAACTAGAATCTCAAAGATCCTGCCCCGACTTGGATGTCTGGGCTGCGCGACTACGCCAAGACTATGAATGCAGCAGCTTTGCAGCCTGACGCCCTCCAGCCTACGCCACAGGACCAGGAGAGGGGCTGACGACACGGTTTGCTTTCGATCAGGCATTTTGCCGGCTGAAGCAGTTAATATTTTAGTAATTTACATAGGTAATTTCAATGTTCACCAGTATTCACTGCCAACTGTCAAAGCACTTCTTACTGAATTACTGGAGCATATGCTAAGCTGATTCAAGTTCAGCTGTGATTTGAAAAGTCTTTGCAAACCTCCACAAAAGCAGGAAAATGTATCATATGGGTCATTTAACATGAAGATGTATCACTGCCTGTGTGCTAAAAGCAAGCGGGCACGAAATTTTTAAAAGGTACATATAAGCCCATGGCATTATTCAGAAATCTATACTATGACAAGAGCCCACTTTTTTTGCAAAGACAGAGTAAGAAACTGTGAAAGTCTTAAACAACATAGCCTGTGCAGCCTCTGGATTTCTAGTGTTCTGTACTTTTCCAGCTAACAAAAGATTTGGTGGCTATTCTTTCCTAAATCCTTTGGTGTACTTAAAACTTTTATTCAAACTTCTCACCCAAGGATTTTGACAGCATTCTTCCATAAAGCTTCCCACTCTGAGACTCTACACCTCACTGGCATCTATTCCCCTCACCTCAGGGAAAATCTTTCACCTTTCTTCAAGCATAACTTGAATTGCTGATGCCATTTTTTTTTATAGTATTAAAACTCCAATCCAATTGAACTCAATTTTTTCTGCTGTTGATGGCATTCTCCATTCAAACAGCTCTGACATTAAAAGCCATAAGTTTTTCTTGAAGTGATTTTCTTATTCCTTAATAATTCTGGAACCTTTCACCTTCAGCTCTGTTTTACTAAATCTGTCCATTAAATCTTTAAATCATACATATGGAGAACCAGTGTTTCACATTTATGTAAGTTGTAATTTCTACACCTCCAGAAACTACGACTAGACTGCAGAGCTCATCATAGATGATAAAATGCTAGAAATCTAGAGATACATAACTTTGAATTGGTAGTCTGCATGTCTTATACTAAGTTTTGAAGGTGGTGGAGTGGAAATAAAAGCAAGATATCCATTTTTTAGTTCACAAACTCATTTGAGATAAAAAGCTACAACAAGTTTTCCTACCTGAGGAGTCCAAAGCTTCCCTAACTACTGAAGGAAAACTTTCTGTATTATTATAGACCACAAGCTTCTGGCAAAATATAGCTATCATTTTTGCCAATGAGGTTCTTATTAAAATGGCACAGCACATACCTTAGACATGCTAAAAGGCTTAGTATTTGTAAAGTTCTTGGCAATCCTCAAGTGGAACATGCCTTTCAAATAAATTACTGGAATGTGGGACAAAAGTCTGCTGTATTTTAGAAAACCTCAGAACATTGTGTTTGTTATCAGCATTATTTCGGTACCAGCTCCTGTTATTCCCTTCATTATTCTGGTGTCTCTCCTGCTATTTTTAGAAGTTTGTCTCAATAACCAACCTTTAACAGTTCTTTCTCCTCCAGCCAGAGAGTAAAATCCTCCAGGGGAGGTTTTTGCCGATCTCCAAACAACTACTACACAGACCAGATAGCAAAGTGCCTCACTGTGAGGAGCTGACTGACTGCCTTCAAAGAAGAGCCACAGAAGCTTTGAACCAGGCATCGCACACATTAACAATTCAATGCCCATGCAGTTGAAACTGTTTGGATCTCTGTTTCACGAGAGCTGGCATCCCAGATTTTCCAAGACAGACAAGAGGGTCAGTTGTTCTTGTCAACTTCTAGTTTCTTAACAGCCAGAGAACTCAAACTTTCTGCTTGCCAAGCCCTAAGTGCATAAACCTCAATTAATGATACAGTACACTAACAAAGAGGCCTTTTATTTTACTGATTCATTAGTTTAGTCTATAGAAAGTTATAAAAAAACATGTGAGGACAGACAGCTGCTGTATACAATAAAGAACTCTAGTGCAATGCCACAGTGAGTGCTCAAAAAGAAAAAGCACCAAAAGAAAGCAATCCAGTCCAATACTCATTCTCATCTGTTTTATGAACGTATACTTAACGAGCCTTAAGAGTTAAGATTCTGGATTTTTTTTTGCAATTTTCATCAGCAACTGGATAGATTTTAAACAGCCGTGCTTATCTGAATCACACCCTTAAGAGCAGTACTGAAAACACTACCCATAATTTAGCAGATTGGAAGACAGTTAACTGAATTTAACGCCTTTCTTAACTGCTGGATTCACCACAGTGCCTTTCGAAACAGCTCTTGTACAAGTCCAGGGTGTTAAAATATCACATATTTTCTCTACCAACTTTTGTGACTAACTTCTGTTGGTGTTGGTGCATGAATTATAACCTAAGAATATTCCCAGTCTTTTTCTGATTAAACAGGCAGCTACTTGTGCGTAAGTTGGTCTTCACACAGAAATCCACAGCTGCGTGGCAAAAAGAGAAAGCATACAGCTTTTATTGGAAGGAATATAAAGTATCGATTCAAATTGAAAAAACAAACAGTGATCCGGACTATCGCTGCTTAAGAAAACAAGAGCTCAATAGATCCCTTATAAAACCAACATTCTTCTTGCTTAAACATGCAAACATCAACATTAGTTACAAGCTTGACAAGAATGAAAAAAAAAACAACTTTCCTGAGCTACACTAGCAACTTCAAGTATTTTATTTTTCATGCCATGCTGAGTAGATTATTGGTTCCCAAACTCGAAATTGAGAAAAGTGAGCTTTTTTCTCCTTCCATAAAATACTACCAGCATATGCTATTCATCATGGGAAAGTAAGTTTCAAAAAAGCAGAAATTCAATTATCATGTTAAGATCTCACCAAAGTCATGGAGTAAAATTTTACCTAACTTGCAAAGCAATAAATACTTGTTGCATGGAATTCATTAGTCTGACTCTCCTGTATTTTTAATGGAGAGACGTAGATGGCAAGATTATTTTTTTTAGTGACACATAGGCATTTCTTATTACTTGGCATCTACGATCAACCATCTATGATACTGAAATACGAGAACCTACCAGCATTTTCAAAATAGAGAAAATACGTACTGTTGGATCTGCTGTTATTATGCAACATATGTTTCTGCAGGACCTTCCGCCCTGCTGGCTGCTTCAAGAGTAAGGCGTCAGCACAACATGCCTCAGCAGTTTTACCATCTGTTTAACAGACAGCATTTCAGAAGTGACACTGCAGTTATTTTTACTAATTCTCCCCCACTTCCAAAGATATTATAGAGAACTGCTTCTCTGTGAAGTCCAGAGCAAAAGTGTCATGTCTTTCAACACTTACAGCTTACACATTTTATACAGAATTAGAATCTCATAGGTTCCTTGAAAGTTCATATTTAGCCTACAGTAATTTTTAACAACATTATATATTACTCCACCTAATGCTTGCTACTTTGAGAACTTGTAATTTAAAATTCATTAATAAAGCAATTTAAGACGTGGGGTTTTTGCATACAATAACTCATTTTCACATACGTCACAGGAAAACAAGCTTTCTAGTATAACCACAACATAATTGAGCATAACATAAATAGAGAACAAGACAGAAGTTAACGTGTATATTTTATGCGTCAGAAACGTGAATTCCTTTGGTGTTATAGACAGATGTGCAAAATAAACAGGTACATAAAAAGCAGGAATATTACATTTTATGAAAAGTCAAGGGCCAATCCAGATTTGTCCTCTTATGTTAAACCAGCCAGCACACAGAAAATTAAACAAAACAAAACCAACACACCGTAACTCGGAAAACAGGACAAAATATTTGACTAGGTACTATTTTGACAAGCCATTCCTAACATCAAGTCAGCTAACTTCACATTAGTGTAAAAACATAGAAGTTTCACATCTATTTGTGGAAGCTTTTGTGCCAATTCTTACATTTAGAGTTTGTTTTTCAAATACTTTTAAGTAACAATTCCAGGTGCACTTTTACCTTCACCAATTAATACTATAAAGCTTAAAACACTCAGAAACCATTAAATCCTATCAAATGTTAAACCATACATCTGCTCCCTGAAATGAGCAACAAGATATCCAGTGTGGTTAACATTTGTCATAACTCATACATTCAGCTAAAGAACTCTATATGCAGTCAACCTTTTGTTATTCAGAGCAAAAAGGAACAAACAGAACTAAAAAAAAAATAAAAAGGGGGCGGGGGGAAACAATGCAATTTTCCTCCAAAAGGCAGATAAACACTCAGAGCATCTCTGCATCTCGTGGGAAGTTCATTAGGTCCAGTACAGTGCCACACAGATGGACACAATCAGGTTGTGCCTGGAAGCTGCATTTTCCAGCTATAAATATCACCTTGACCAGCC